ACGGGATTGTCTTGCGTATATCTTATATATCATCGGCTCTTAGCGTTAATCTCACGTTAGAACTATAACAATATAGAGATTGCGAGATAATATACCTCTGACATAAGTAATAACCCAAATTTGAGTCGATTATTACAAACCGCGTTAATGGTTGTAGACAAAAGTGCCAGTTTGTTGTCACTTTTATTTATATAAACTTCTGCGCTTATCAATTTTTAGAATGGTGTATTAAAGTAGAAATTAATGCTGATTGTCATATGGAGTTAATTGCTGGAGTTAATTGCCGAAAAGCTTATAATTCGATAAATATAAGACAAAATATTCTTTTCTTTTTTTTACTACAATATAAGAAAATACTGCGGATACAATATTAAATTAAATTGTATAAAATGGTTTATGCCGAAAGCGTCGTGTAAATATTATTAACAATGACTTTTTTTTAAGAAAATAAAGTTGGTGAATAAATATTTCTCACCTATTTTGTTTTTTAATTCGTTTTTAACATTATTAATCGCGTCATCATTATTTTCTATATTGCTAGAAAATAATATGTCTTAGATAATTTTTATTATAATTAATTAATCATTATTGTAACAACGTTTATAAATACAATCTCTTACTAAAAATGGCCATATAAAATAGATTGACTCAAAACGAGGGATTAGGTGACAATCAATTTTAATCTCTTTAAGTCGACATGTTTTTAGAGAATATGTTTATGAATATAATATTTCTCATAGATATATTTTCCATTTTTCGTATAGAAACTATAATACGAAAACAAATTATGTATTTTATGATTAAAATATTTTCCTTATATTACTATTATTTCACGAAATATAGAAATAAAAACTATTTTTTGTATGTTTTATTCATATAAAATATATTACTATTTTGATTTTTTTACTAAACTAGTTTTTTCAACAGGGTCTTTTCTTGTTAATCAGTTTACTGGTAATAATTCATATATAAACAAAAAGAAGTATCACACAAATATTTTTTTAATCATGTTACTTGACTTTAAAATTTTGATCCTAGATTTATCATTAGCGATCTAAAAAAAAATCTTTATACTGGATACATTCCATGTAAAATACGAAATTATTCGTTTTCACTAGTTTTGGCTAAAACGTTAATTTCGAGTACATCATTTCGATAAATTGATATATAATATCTAAGAGATAGATATGTTATAACGTATATAGTGATTAAAATCTTACATTCACTATTCTCTACAAAAATCATTATTTAAAACTGTGACAACCGGTCTCTACTATACAGAACATTATGGGCAGATTACTTGCGAATTGTACAAAGATTCACATTTTTACTTTCTTTAATTACTTCACAATTGGATCAAGATTGATCGGAGACGAATCAAAAGTACACTAAAAGAAATAAAGTCTGAAGAATCTTCTTATAATCGGGTGTCGAATTAATTTTACCTACATTATTTTCTGACCAAATGCGATTTTAAGCTCAACAAATGAGCAATAATACACGCAATGTTATATATCTAAGGTCAACCTCGCACTGATAAATGATCGACCGAACTCCTAATGGCGGTGGCTCTCGGGTAAGACACCTTTATCGGGTCTCGAATCGCGTTCTAGGTCAAAGCCATCAGCGAAACACAATGCGTTGCATGCGAAATCATCGGACTTGCGATTTGTTCTTGGTTTCTTTTCCTTCTCGACGTAATTCGGAAAGATTCCATCCGGTTCAACGGCTCGCGGCCGATATTACCGACAAATCAGAAAACAGCCAATATAAAGTCGGATATTCTTCATAATGATATTTCTCATCAATAACACTGATCAATAAAATTTCACTTTTCTTATATGTTAAACTGATCAGTTGAGATCTCTCATAGTATTTTTTGCACTAATTTCAAATCTATCTGCCAAAATGAAGAGAGTTCTTCGGGAAAATGCAAAAATTTAAAAATTCCTTTATCTATGCTGCTTAAATATAAATAAATAATTCATAGAAAATAGCTACTAAATTTAATACAATTTTCTACTTATAAAAAGCTTCGAACAAAGAGAAATAATTATAGAAATGATTTCATACAATGATATATTAGCAAAATGTGTAAATTTTTATAAAGATACGTTATAAAGATATGTTAGTTATAAAAAATTGGTACCATAGGATAAATTCTAATCTCATTTTCAAAATAAAAAAAAATACATTAAAAAAATTAGTCAAAATAACCCAAACAACAAATTTAACAAAATTATTGTCGACTAATAATGTAATCAATAATTTCGAATTGTATGAAATTTAACATGTAAAAAATATGATACAAACGTTTATACAAGAGAACAAAAATTTTAATTTAATTCTATGAACAATCGCTAAAAAAAATTCTACAAAAATGTACAAAAAGATTTTTATTTCTTAATATTAGTTTCTACATAAGAAGGAATTCGAAATTTGAATAATAAATTGGCATAATAACAAAAAGACATTATGTGTCTTGCGTGGATTTTAAATATTTTCGAACATGAGATATCTTAGAAGCGTTTAGAAAAGATAATATCTCGGTCATGTGCATGCTAAGCTTTTGCAATGTTTAATAAATGTATGCAATAATGTAAAAACAATATAAATATCTGCGTACGTGTTCCAATTCTAGTAGTAAAAAATTCTAAAATCTTTGAAAGAATTTTAAAAAAATTTATTTTTAACTCTTTTTATTTCTATTTCGCGAAAAAACATTTATTTCTAACTTTTCTTTTGCGATTCAAACTATTTCTCAATAATAAATAAATGAAAGTATTTCGTTCTTCGGTTCATCAAATCAAATTAATCTAATATGAATAAAACAAATTTTGATTACTATTAGGAGAATGGAAATAAAAAAATATAATTATCGATTATAATTATGTAACAATTCGAATGCATGAAAAATTATCCGATAGATGTAATAATGCATTATGTCCAGTTCAATTCGATATAGAGTTATAAAAGATTAAACATTAATTTTTATGCAAGAAAAAATTCGAATCTTGATAAGTATAGGATGTCTTGGAAGCATTCGAGAAAAACAATGTCTCGTTTGTACATAAAAAAATTAAATTATTAATCTGATTGAATGTCTGCAATTGCTTATAAAAGTTTTATCACATCACGGGTATATATTGCGAGTAAAATGGATCACAGATTTCATAATCTCGAAGAAGCTTGCATTTCCATTTGTAACAATCTTATCATAAATAGCATCCTAAATTCCAAGTTAGTGAAATTTCAGGAGTTTTTTTAGGAATTTTTTGAAATATATTAAATTTCAGGATAATTCTAGGATTCAAGGATATTCAAGAATCGCTGAATCCTTTATAATACATATAACAATAGTTCAATAGAGACAGCAACTTTGCAATTGTCATTCTTTGATAAAATTGATTTGTACATTTAGATGCAGTGAGGGACTAAGAGCAAGATCAATTATATTGATGAATTTTATAACAGTTGTAAAGATATTTTTTCTGCTAAGCGTGCAACTAATATACATTTCAAAATCCATATGTAATTTTTAAACATTTTTGCAAATTTTTACAGCAACATTTATAACCTAGCGAAGCCACCACCCGACTGTTGAAAATTTCTTTAATATGCTTAGCATTATAACATTTCGAGATATTTCTGTCCATGTATATGCGACTGATCGGAAAGAATCCAGCAGTCTGCTCTCCTCAAATTATATCATAAATCGAAATTGTCAATGTATTTATAGCAGCCACGTGCACGACAGTACGAAGGCATCCTCGAGATATCCTCGAAGACAAGAGAAAGAAAGAGAGAGAGGGTGTCTTCCCTCTTTCCCTCTTTCCCCAATCCGTGGCAGTGAAGAACGCGATTCGTTTGGTGAAATCAATTCTGATAGCTAGCATCCGAGCATCGCGATTATCCGGCACGCTGCCCGATTAATTTGCATCTCGAGGGACCGTAAATAAGCGGGCTAACTGCCCGATCGGGAGGGAGGAAATCAAGTTCGATGTGTATCGATTGCGAGTCGCGAGTCAACTTCAACAACCGAGTTTCATAAGACTCAAGTGATGACCGCAAAAACGATTACTTAATTTATTTTAAAAAGAATTGTTTTTGTAATTCCTATAAGTAGCTATAAATAGTTGTCAGGATTTAAAAGCTTATATTTTAACGAGAGAAATCAAATCGAGTCGAAATCTGAGAATCTGAAAAACATTAACTTTTCCTAAATCAATAGTACTAATCATCATCGTTACTGATTATTTAAATATGAAGTTGTCATAAAAAACTTTAAATCGAGTTTTCCTAATATTTCCTCAATATTTTTAATTATTGTAACTGTTCCTTTTCTGAAACTTCTGAAGAATTTATTGTTATATCTGTCCTCCTAGGATATATTTTGGTGCTCTTATCTATTTTGACATTTTATCTTCTGTCAGATTTGACAGAAACCTTTCAACATGATTTATAGTCTCTTCGACCTTAAACCTGAACAAAATTTTTTCAAATGACTGTAAAGGAAATTCGCGATTGTTGTGAAATACTTAATCCCATTCCTAACGCGGATCAGAAGGGGATAAAATAACGACGAATTGCCGTTGAGAATGGTGGTGCCGGTGTTCTTTCTCGGTGCTCTGGGATGAGCTGGCGACGCGACGTGTACGATCGCAAGGTCCCTGGGGATCGACATGGTGACGGCGCTGGGTGGCACAAGCCAGCATCCTTATCTCAAACTGGGGACCCATACGCCACACACTCTCTCGTCATATGGTCTCGTCGACGTCCTCTCGCCTGGAGGATTCGACCACCAGTTGCAGTATTGACACGACTACCGCTCGGTCGTGACGAGTGGATCGGTGTTTTCGATTCCATGTCTCTTCTCTTTCGCAACGTTCGGACGCGCGCGAAATTTTGAAGGTGTCTTGCACTCTACGGCGTTTTGTTACCAGTTTTTATTGTAATTCTGTATTTTAAAAATCTCGAAATCTCTTGATCATGAAAAGAAAAATCGCAGACGTGGCATTGTACATTTCTTAGAATGCTCATAATGCTCGCTATTACTTCTCAATTTTAAAGAGACAAATAGTACAAGATTGCGATTATGATCTAATACAAGCGGTTCTTAGTCTTCTTATCGTGCTAAATATACTGCAAATAAAAATCTATCTTTGTTAGATTCACGCGAATAATGATGCGGTGATCAATAAATAGAATCTTATTAATTGATATTGAGAAACACGATTGACAATTGAGTCAATCTTAGGAGCAATCATGTAAACGCCAGTTAGAATTATTCTGAAAGTCTTTGTTGCGTATAATCGTCAACTTGTATGAAAATTTTTTGAGATCAGCTGCATCCTAGTTTTGATTTAATTTCTCGGTATCATGATCGAGGAAGCTACGACATTCGATGTGAGTACACAACGTAATGTCATATTTAATTGCATAACTATGCGATATGTACTTTATATTTGACAATATCATACTTGACTGCATACATATATGGAAAGAATAAGTTTGTTAAAAAAAAATCTAAAAATTTAGGTAGATACAAATCTGAAAACATAATTTTATTGGACCATCAATTACACAGAACGCTCAAACATAATGAATAATGCTGCAAAATTTACAGTTTAGCAATCAGCTTCAGCAAAATTATTTTGATAATAATTTTGATAACTTCATAAAATTGTTTTTAGATCTATATCTAGCTAAATTTTTAAATATTTTGGCACAATCGTTTTTTACGCGTATCTACTTTTTTGCATCAGTTAAATTCTATACAATTTGTTTAAAAACGGGATAAAATTGGGATAAATTTACTAGGATAAACCTGGAATAAACGAGATAAATACCTATCAAAACTATCGTAAAATGAGAATTGAGTGTTGATTCACGTGTCAATATTTATAAATTCAGACTTATAAAATAATTAAAAAAAAAATATATATATATATATATATTTATCTTCATCTACAGATGACAGACGAGCAACTGTTCTCCGCCCTTGGCTTCACAATGGATACTAGCATCGAGAGACAGCTATTTTCCCCGACCAAGACGAATCTACCTAGCGATTACGAAATCTCGAGTACACTCAGCGATGACTTCGGAATATTCGACAATCAATTAAACATAATAAATCCGACAGATTGCTATACTGACTTAACTTGTTCTCCGCAATCATCTTGGAACGACTGGTCGACCACCAATACCCCTACATCGTCAGGTATACCTTTTTTATAAACCTTTTTTAGGTATACCTTTTATATATATATAAATTATTTGTTAATATATATTATATATATATATGTATATATATAAAACCAGACTGTAATTAAGTTCAACATAATGCAACGTTATTCTCGTTTATTGTGAGATCTGCTTACTTTTATTAGAAAAAAATTCTAAATTTACTATTCTAGAGATGCTCTGAGAATCTTCTAATACAAACAGACTTTTCTTAAAATGTGTGCTTAATAATCACAGGTTATTTTAGCGAATTGGGTGAATTGGATTCAGAGCTGGACTGGTGTCTAGAGAAGAGCTGGGATTCCGGTCTTCCAGAAAGAACACCATTGTGCACTGCAGGATGCGAAGGATTTTTGCATCTACCGCCTCTGTCGAATCCGCAACAGATGCCACAATATGAGGAACCATTGCTAGTACTTGGCATCGATTTACGAGCGTTGGAAAACACATTAGGAACAAATACGATAGGTACAGGATGTACATTTTAATTAAAATAACGTCAGCATTAAAGTGATGAAGTTTTTTCGATTGCGACATGAAAAGAAGAGAATAATGAGATTATATTGTTTAAAATAGCAAGATACTATTTTAAATCATTATCTTAATAATTATACATGAAGACAATTAAAATGCATCTTAATTGCAGATTATAACAACAATCAGTTAAACGACAATCTCCTAATCTCATCAGCAGCTACTGCCGCTTTAGCAACCCACGATTATACTAATCGTAGTTTAGCAAATGCGTCCGAAGATCGATGCTTCCCATGTACTTACCAAGGATGTCTAAAAGTAATCTTGAGACTTTACGAGATTTATTTGTCAGCTATATTATTAGTTATTTCATGTTCATACGGAAAGAACAATTCTATTGAAGTATCTAAAAACTTAGCTAACTATAGATCTGAAAATAATTTTGTTTCGATCACCAAAAGAATTATGTAGAACTTTCAAATTAATTGTTAGAATGCTAAAAATTTTTTATAGCACTTTTGTCAACACTTAAGTATTTTATATAATTATTTTAATGATTCAATACAATTATTTTCAACAAAAACCGTTCTTTTCATGTAGTCTTTTAAAAAATAAAAATAATTACAATCTGTGACTCATTTCTTATCTGTGAAAATCATTTTTATATCATAATCGAGTTTTTCTGAAAGATTAATGAATTTTAGATTGATTCTCTCTTAAGAAGAGTTCTATTAAAAATTGAGTCCTAGTTAAAATATAATATTTATTTCTTTTCATTTTAGGTATACGCCAAAGCATCTCATTTGAAAGCTCATTTACGCCGACATACTGGCGAGAAACCGTTCGCGTGCACTTGGACCGGTTGCGTATGGCGTTTCAGTCGATCGGATGAACTGGCGAGGCACCGACGATCGCATTCGGGCATTAAACCGTACTCGTGCGAGATATGCTCGAAAAAATTTGCACGTAGCGATCATCTGGCCAAGCATCGTAAAGTGCACCGGAAAAATACCTACCCATTGTTTCACGGGGCTAGAGGACTACGTAGCGGCAAGATAAATGTTTTACCATCAGAAATCTAAAATTCCTCTTTTAAAATTTCTTTTTAACTTAAGAAAACAAGCCAAAGTTTATCACTAAGAACACGAAACGTCTACAACATCATTTCTATATAATCGACAAATAAAGTACTTAAACTGATTCTATATAAAGATAATTTCTGCCAATTTAATGATGTAGATTGGTTTTTTTTTTTATATTTTCGGCGGCTAATCTTCCTTGAAGTTATAATACACTTATTTGTGTTTCTATTCAAGAATCATTAGTATTAACTCTAATGAAATAGTATCATAAATTAGTTAAGATAATCAAGAGATTATATAAATTAAGATAATGCCAGAAAATTTTTTCGAATACCAGAAAGCAAAATTAGTGCAATAAACCGAAATTACATTGAAATGAATGAAATTCATTCAATCTAGTATTAGTGCGACTAGTCTTTATTGGCGGCAGTTAACGTTATTTCGATAAAAAATTGTTATCAATGTCATATAGAATAAAATTACGAAAAAAATGCATTATTTTATATCTTATTTTTCATATGTTTTACATCGTTTATAATGTTCTTTGTAAAAATTAACAATTAAAATTGTTAATATAATCGTAATTATCGAAGACAGATATTTGTGTGCGAATACTGGCTATTTTAATATTCAATAATTAACATTTCAAAATAAATAATTGCATTAAAGAGCATTAAAGAGCAAGAAAACAAGAGAAATCATATTATTATTAATTCTTACCTTGTCTTTTGCAAACGGCCGCCGAGAATTTATGATGCTACTTCGTTTTCGCCATGTACCCCAATACGGAGGACGGCGATTTTCGTTGAATTGCAGTAATTTCGGCCGGTGCTTCTCCAAGTTATGCGTGTTCGTTATAATGTTAGAACTGCCGTCATTGTCATCGTCTGCACAATCAATTAAATTCATTAAAATATTTTACAAATTGTATTAAGAAATTTATATATCATAAACATGATTTTTACCTAATAGGATAATTTCATCTTTTGTTTCCAATGGCCACGTTTTGGAGGAAGTACGTGGCACTATTCTTCCTTTTTTAATATCTTCGAGATATAATTCAATTTTATCTAAATCTATGTTACACTTATTATCAAACAATAATTTATCATGTTCAGTCAATTTTCTTCGACAAATCGGTGCGATTCTCATGTCGGCCTTTATTTCAAAAGGCATAAAATTTTTCACTCCAATAACACTCTCTTCCTCCACTGATTTAACCTCCTGCTTTTTAGGAACAAAAAAGCTCGCAAAATTCGAGGCAGCTTTCTGCTTCTTGCGTTCGGCTTCCAGTCGTTCCTCTTCTTTCTTTCTTTTCTCTTCTTCCTTAGCTTCTTCTCGTTTTTTCCGTTCTTCTTCTTTCGCTTCCTTTTCTTTTTGTTTTTGTCTAGAAATAAATAATTTTTTAATATAAAGGAAAGTATACAACACAAAATGCAGTAAAGTACAATTGTTCTTACTCGATCTCCATTTGTTTCTTAAGTTCCTTTAATTCTTTTTCCTTTTTCTTTTGTTCTTTTTCGATTTTCTCTTTTTCTTCTTTTTCTCTCTGCTTCTCTTCTTTCTCCAATCGCCGATTTGCTTTTTCCTCCTCCCGTTTTTTTTTTTTTTCCTAGCATATAAGAAATATAAATGAATTGATATGCATATGTATATGTACAATACAATCACATCAATTTAAACTTATTTTATAAGTAAACAAAAATAAAATGTACCTCTCTTCTATTTACATACCATTTTTAATTTCTGCTTCTCTTCCTTTCTTTTGATAATTTCCTGTCTCTTTTGCAATTGTTTTGGTGTTAATTTTTTAATTTTATTCTTAATATCTTTGTCAGTTTTTGGAGTAACAGGAGATGCAGGTTTGTCTGTTTCTTTATTTCTATTCGATATTGATGTATCTAACTCGCTCGAAGCCTCGTTATCCGAAGATAAAATAGTAATATCACAGTTCATTTTCTGAAGAGAAAGATCTGTATCCTTATCAACAATATTATTATCTATTTCACTTAGTTGAGACGTATCTAATTCAGATCGAATACATTGTGCGTCTAAGCTTTCATTCATACAGACTTCATTTGTTTCCTTATGTACAGATATATCTTGACAATTTTTCTTATCTTTTAATTCAAGTAAATTATTATCATGATTATTATCTTTTTGTTCAGATAAATTATCGACATGATCACTTTTTTCAATTTCCTTGTAATTTTCAATTTCTGTTTTTTTTAGAAACTTAGTTAAGGCACCAGATTTCTGTTGAGATTTATCCAGTTTCTTATTTTTTCCTAAAGTATTTCTTTTAGATGTACTATCGATTTTCCTATCTTGCTGATCACTTTGCTCGAGATCTTCCTTTTCATCATCTAATATTATTTCAATATCTTCGCTAACATCAAGTTTTTTCTCGCTTGCATCTTCTTTTTTCTTCTCAGGTACTTTTCTGACCGAATTCTCTTTTGTTGCAAGTTTTAACACTTTAGAGCTCTTAAGCTCTACCAAAGGCGACTTTATTTTCCTCTTCTTCGTGTTAGACTCATTATCTGTACTGTTTGGTGATTTGGAGGAACTTAATATTTGAAATGGTAGTTGTGCTAAAATAATGAAATAATTGTGTAATAAACACTTGCACTATAAATATAAATGTTACAATATATACACGATAAGTTTATTTGCATTGCTTAAATTCCCAAAAATTTTTTTCACTCAATAAATATATATTAAGATACTTAAAAACATGAAATAAATATATATATTGAAATATATATATTGAAAAGAGAGAATGCAAAGATGCAAAAAGTACAAGCAACACAAACTTATTTAAATGTATGCAATATATTTATAAGAAAATCAAATTACCTTGTCTCATTTTCTTTTTTTTCTTTGGCGTTACTTCTTGTATCATACAATCACTGTCTTCCATTGAACCGTCCATACTTTTTATTTGTTAAATCTGATACATGCAGGATGCTTTCTATTTAATGACACAAATTGACACATTCATCATTCTTGATATTTATCTTTTTTGATATTTAATGAGTAAAGCTTGATCTATAGTGTTCTTTGTTTCCTGTTTCTTTTTACCTCATGCCTTTTTCCTTCTTGATCAATTATTGTATTTTGCGTATTTATTTCGAAGTTAACTTTTATCTCAGGCGATAAAAAATGAAAAACGGGATAAGAGACAAAAAGACAAAATATTAAAAAATATCAAAAAGAAACAAGAAACAAAAGCATCTTGCAAAATAGGCTTAAAAAGTAGTAAATAGCAAGAAACAGGAAACAAAGAGCATATTCATTAGATTTTGCAAAACGATATTTGTGTCGATTTGTGTCACTTGTCATCAAATGAAAAGTACTCACCACTAAACTTTGGAGTTTTTTTGTTTTTATAAAGAATGTTGAAGTTACAAAAATAAGACTGCGCGTTTTCGCTAAGTGGTTATTGAATTGTCATGAATTTACCTTGTTTTTAAAATATCACAATATTTTTAGCATTCCTCAATTACGTTATTATTATATGGAACAATTAGAACTGTCAATGTGATCTTGTCGCTATAACCTAAACGAGAACAAATCGTCAAGACAGTTCGGCTAATTTTTGAAGAATATAACGTCGCGTGAACAACGAAGACGTGTAAAAAAAATTATGAATTGAAAGAAATGCAATTTTCACTTTTAAACAAACGTCACATTAAATAACACAAATAACATACCGCCAATTCTATATCACACAGCACAGCATACAGTCTTAATGAAATCCGCGGGAAAACGCGTGAAAGGAACAACTTCATCGATATCTCGATCGGCGCGATTTGAGATCTGTTCTTCATTCTTGCACTACGTGAACAGGAACCACTGAAGGTCGATTGTGTATCTTGAAATTAATCCTCTAATTAGAGTCCACCTGTTCTCCGGTTTTATTCCGGTGTAATTGGTCCAATATTTTTCATCTATTCCATTTAAATGCATAATGAAAATACATTATTATCTGTATTATATAATCGTATTCAGAACGCGCTTAAAACGATATTAGCGCGCTAACATGCTATAATTTATGTTACGCATACTACAGAATTTTGGAGATAAAAGCGCGTTCTGAATACGAACTTATGTTTTTATTTGAAATGTATGATGCATGGCCATGGATTTGCTGTCGTAACATTTATGACACTACTAAATTTTTATGTTTTTTTTTTTAATTTCAATTGCCAGCTAGGGAAACGGTTCACTTGCATACTGTAGCAATTGCCCATTGCCAATCACAGCGACTTCTGTATAGGGATTTTTTTTTTAGTGCTATGATTGGCTTGTGCGTAATTGGCTCATGGGCAATTGTTATATATTTGTCAGCTAGTTATCTAGCCTACGTTCCAAAACTTCCTTTCCTTTTACTCGAAATATATAGTACACGTAATGCATAGTCTACAATGGGCAGTAACAGTAGTGGATTAAAGAGTAGGTGTAGAAATCGACCAATCATAGTTGATTATTTTTCTCACATTCAACGTATATAGAATAAAATCTTCTTCGGAAAAAAAGTTTTGGAACGTAGTCCTGAATTAGCGGAATCCATAGTCTGTTCTTAATCTTAAGCAATGTCTTAAGATGCTAATATAGTTCTCTGATTGGTTCATGCACTAGCTAAAGTTTAATAGCGTATTCAATTTAAGAGTCCTCTACATAGAAGTCTTAAGTAGGAAACTAACCAATCACAATCAAATATAAGGAGAATACTCGATTAGAATTGGTCAGTTTCCTATGACTTAAGACTCCATGACTCTTACGATTTCTACGTAGAGAAAGAAAGAAGCAAAAGAAGAGCTAAATTTTGCAAGAAATGCAGCAAAAAGAACAGACCATTAACTCGGAATCGGATCGAATCAAGTAAATCAAATACACTATAAGACCATCTCGAATCTTGAGAAATAGATTTCTCCTATCTATGGATTCCATTTCTAAAGTCCCTCTAAAAAAACAGTCAGGCCACCGGCCCATGTTTTTGGTTGACTCATGTTAGCTTGTCCTCACTGTGACAGGACGAATGTAAGGAGAAATGGCACGCTTATTGAAAAATTTATAGACGTAAAATAACGCAAAATATTCTTTATTAATGTATATATTTTATATTATAATCACAAGGAAATGTTAGAATTGTAAAAAATAATATAATAGTGATAAAGAAATATATAATACAATTTGTTTAATAAAAATATAAAATATCAAATAAAAATATAGCTTTAAATAACGATACAACTAGTATCAAATGTGTTCCATGCATATCTTCGGCGGAAGAGTAATAAAAACGAAATGTAAAATCAAAACAAAAAAGCCAAGCTAGCTTAAAAATTGGGGATGAAACAATATCCAAACAAGACAAACACGTTCGTCCCGGTTTAAGCGGGGAACATTCTTACATAATGTATAACACATAAGACATAAGAAATCCAACCAATCAAAATTCTTTATTTCATAAAAAGGAAAGAAATGAAGAACTTTGATTGGTACATTTTCTTATACACTATACATTATGCATAAGAAAATGAATCAATCAAAATTCTTTATTTCTTTCCTTTCCTTAAAATAACGGATTCTGTTCGATTTTCTTAAGTCTCATGTTTTATCCAAGAGCTATGCTCCCCGCTTAAGGGTATATTCACACAACTTGCATAGCCTCATAACGTATGCAAGTTTGTGTGGATATATTCTTAAGTGAGAATTATAGACTCTTGCATAATTCATAATACACATAATGCATAAGAAATTGTACCAATCGAAATCCTTCGTTTCGTTTCTTTCCATGAAAAAAAAAAAAAATTTTACCTACGCTATCGCGCTCGTAACATTTATTATGAAAAGTCTTATGAGAAACGCGATCGCGCTTCTTAGCAATCAAAGGGTTGTGAATATTTAAAACAAAAACCAAAGCCAAATATAAAAGCTTATAAAAGCTTTAAAAGCTTATTATTATCTTAATTATAAAATTGTTATTATTTTGTAGATGTTCAATTCCATTTTGCTCTAGTTTTTTGAAACAGTCGGAGGAATAAATTTGGATGCACTATAATAGTGCTCGACAATGGTTTATTGTAAATCACTTTTTTCATTCAAATATTAAATGCCTTTAAGTAGATATTAATAAATCACACGGTTTCACGATGAGATTTTTCTTTTACAAATTATCACATTTCAACATATTGACATTTCGATTACACTCACTTGATGAAACGAGGAATTTATTAACCGATTTATTAATTAATCATTGACAATCACAAATGATTGATTATTCAGCGATTGAAAATCACACGAAAAAAGAAACACGTTTGTAAACCTGTGTAACAACACAACATGTTTATGTGCGGCAAGCAGTTGACTTTCTAGGTGTAGTTCACGCAGCGCCTTAGGCCGGGATCAGACTACGCATTGAAAAATGCGTTCCCATGGGATGCGAAAGTGCGGAACGTTCGTGATTGGTCGTGACTTCATTTCCCCGATTCTGTTCGCTAAAATGTTGCCCCATTGAGGGAATTTACGGAATGCGCAATTAGCTCTGACCAATTGCAAGAGTCTTCCCGTAGATCACTTTCATTAGATCTACTAGAATAGCGTTTGTTATTGGCTTGTATTGCGCATCCGCAAGTTTCAATGCGAAAATAAATTTTGGAAAAATCACACGTATATACAGAGATATTGCCCCGACTTCATTTTGTGTATCCATTTTAATTTTAATTTACATTTTCGCTCTTCTGTATACTATTTATATGACATTCGTATTCTGATTATATTGACTTCCGAATTTATCTGGAGACTTAATTAGTTACCTTCAGGGTTATGTTCAGATTCCCATCCAAGTGTCACAGAAGTATTACTCCATTCTTATTATTTACTGAATATCAAGGATAATGACACACCCGGAGAACACCCGGATAGGAATCCGAATACGCCTCAACTTGTTAATTAACCGCGCTCTTTAAGAGAGAATTTTCTCCGTTTAAATCAGCTTAACAAGGTTAATTTTTATAAGTATATGTATGACATGCACACATGCAGGCATCGGCGGAATCCGCAAAAGAAATAAATTTGCGCAATGAAAAACGGCGGAATCGGCGGAATGAAGTCATGACCAATCATAAATGTTCCGCATTCATGGAAATACCTAAAAGGTTGTCTTGTCCTCTCTTAGGTTTCTTTCTGGTGCAAAAATAGAATAAACCTCTGCTGCTCATGCAGAAGTACTAACTAACTTCGACACATTCGCGCCAAAAATACAAATTTTACTAGAAAATTCTTAAAACTTAAAAATTTTCTGCTAAGTAAAATTACTAAAAATTGTCTCTTAAATTTCTACTTATAATAAAATATTAAATTATATTATATTTAATCATCTGACAAATATAAAATTTATAAAAGTTTTATTTCGCTCAGGAGAATACAAATCATTATTGTAAATCTCTAGCAATTTGTAAACTCTAGGACTGTTTTAATCTTTGGCGATTAGATTTGTCTTCCACTATTCTATCACGAGCATCGTTCTGCATGTATATATAATAGTATAGCATCCAACAATAAGTTATACCAATAGCACAATATAGAGAAGTAAATGCTAATGGTAAGAATGGCAGTTTGTCGCCGAGCAACAATTTATGCAGTACCACTTCGTAGACCGTAACTAGTGGCAACGGTATTACATACAGCCATTCATGTAATCGTAATAGAGGCTTGCCATGATGATTAGTCAAGATTAAAATCGATGAAAGCATATACGCCAGTGATAACAGTAATTTCAGAGAAGACAAGTTATCGGGATATAGCAATGGCAAGAGAGCAGTTTGTCCAGCATTGCTTAAAATAATGAATATGCGCGCATCTTCCGCATGTAGTGCTGCGAGGACGCTAAAATTATTATAAAACATACTATATTATTACATTTTTAGCACTACAAATAAATACATATTTCATAAGATAATAAGACAGTAACAATTTATATGATATAATTTATTTAATACTTATTATATTAATTAACTTATTATATTAATTAAACTTATTATATAACAAAGTCTGATCACGAAACAGAGTTTGAATGAAACTATATGTATATAAAAAAATTGTTCTTTCTCACTCTTGTTTTAACAACTTCTCATGACTTGACTCTGTTGTAAAGCATATAGGACTTACCACAAAGGAATAATTGCGGTTAATATAGCTTTCTCATGTACGTGCCAGCCAAACATGAATGAACTTAAAGCACATAGTACAATGCACCTAATAAAATCTTTCGAGTTCACGTAAGGCTTCTTATATAGACACCATAATGCAGGCTAAAATAATTATATTAGTTTAATTTATTCGTGCGTGCGCGCGCGCGCACGAATAAATTGTGTGTGTGTAAAACATAACAAAAAAAACAGTAAAATATATTTAGGGGCCGATTCTGTAACTTTTAACGACAATCGTTGATGTCGTTGCACAGATATGTACATTGTACAATGACATCAACGATAGTTGTTAAGAGTTACAGAATCGACTCCTTAATACAGAAGAACAATTGAATCACTATGCACTGTATAGATAAACTTACGAGCATTATCACAAAAGTCAGAAGAAATGTAACGATAGGAGTTGGAGTGGGTAATATAAGGAAGTTCTGTTCTTGCACCAGGCCACCTGTCATTACTGCAGACTTAACATCTTTCAACCATCCCAAGCGTTTCCATATCACAGATAGCACTTTCTCAGCGCCAATATATAGGGCCCAACTATTCGCAGCCCAATATGAATGCACCAGGCCCCTTTTAAATGGAAATAAACGGGAAATTACCTAATAAAAAAAAAAAATATATATATATATATATAAATGAAATATAATCTGCGATTACATAAATATTACCTGTGATAATTGAGTTCTGAATGGACCAAAAGATACTGCTAGAACAGTCAGAACTATAAGTACAAGACTAAATAACCGCCTGAAGAACTTTCCACTGTTCAGACAATGTGATTTTACTAGCCAGACAGCGTATGCTGGTGCCACATATACATATAAATGTTTTAGATTTAATAAAATGGAAAACCACATAGCACCATTATGTACAGCACAAACCGTCATCTAAAAACGAGCTACTTTACTATAAATAAATTCACAGTATATTACAAGATTTACCTCTTTGTCAGTCTTCGAAACGTTTGCCATTGATATCAACAAAATGCCAAGCAAAAAGCCGTTGTATTGGAAATGTATATGATCGATTATCAACAGTCCTATATTGCATAATGACAGAAATGCGAAAACTATGTGGTTGTTCAAAGACTTGCAAAATGTCCTACTCATTCTGCAAAAAAAAATACTTAGATTTAGATCTATATCGCGCAAAAATCTCTCTCTCTATATATATAGAGAGAATAGATTACAGTATATAGGATTATAGAAAATAATGTGACTACCTGAGAAATATATTTTTATCTATACTTGTTTTACATCAAATTTTTTATAATAAATACGATAGAAAACATCATCAAAGATGTTTCGAATAATACAATATATCTTTATTAAATTAATTTATTTCAGATATGATTGCGCGCCGATAACTTTCAACACAGTCTGAAACGCTAATAATTCCCCCTAAATTAGAAAAACTGTAAAGAACTTATTGCAAAAAATATTACCTCAGCTAAGATTCGAACCTGGGACCTCCCAATTTTCCGGGGGCGAGTATCTTAACCAACTCGACCACTGAGACTTCTACTTGTTTTATTAATAAGAATTTTGTCTACTATTTGTTTTTAATATAGAATATAGAATAGAATCATCTTTGAATACCGTAGCACTGCTACAATAGTATATTATTTTTCTAACATCTTCTAATTACTTAAAAGATATTGAAAGAGGAAATCCGTTTCAGAAATTGATTTCTCGATTGTTTCTCACTTTGCTTTTCAAGAAATTACAAATAATTTAAATTGGATGTCTATATTGACCAGGAAAAAAATGTTGAAGTTTTGAAAAACAAAGAGCAATTTTGAAAAATAGAGTGGGAAGAAAATTTCATTTTCCAATATCATTTGCATAAGAAATAATATTTTTCTAAAGAAAAAAGATATTCTATTAAAAGAATAGTACAATATTCTTTAGTTAATTATTCAAACATTGAATGATTCAATAAGGATGAAAAATAAAAAGCAAATGCATCAATTTCTTATTAAAGTAGGGAAGTACATAATGTACTTCCTAAATTCATATTATTTTTATTAATTTAGCCTCTGTATAGCATTAAAAAATTAATCTTTTTTCTTGGAAAATGTAACTTTTTCAAGAAAGATTTATTTAATAAAAAAAATTGAATTTAGAACAGTAATGAATTACTATTTGATCTCGTAATTATTATTATATATGGCTGATAGTCATAATAATTTTTCTCTGATTGCATTCACCAAAATCACCACCATTTTATCGAAATATCTAATTAGTTTTATATTATTTGATGTTACAGCAAAAAAATTTTTACTGATTGATGCGTTTACACTAGTTTATTTGTCAATTAATAATTAACCACTATCTTACTTCTGGATCTTTTCTGGGAATTCACACTATTGCGATAATAAGATGATCAATCTACAAATTCTTATGCATAATGAGTGATAACTATGACTCAACAATATTTATATATATTTCATGCCTAATTAATTGTATTATGAGTTAACATTAGTTAATTTTATATTTCTTTTAATTTGTATTGAGAGAGAGAGAGAGAGAAGGATCAAACATTGGTCGAAATGTCTGCATTGGCTCTTAATTGGCTTTTTCAATTCTTTTTATTAGATTTATTTTTAGAGTCTTATATATAGCTTTTATATTTATTTAATAACAATAAGTTCTAAAGATTTTTTAAATTACATGTAAAGATTGTTAATATAATTAAATAAATTTCGTACTCACTCTCTTACTCCGTAAGCAAATATCAGATCGGCAAATATAACAGTGCCTCTCTGGAAATATATAGTGGCCGGTGAAGCATAATTCAAATTCTCCACCTTAAGCATTTCTGGATCGAAAAATACAGCCACTTGACTAAGGCAGTACTCAAACCACGCAAATAGAGGTGGATAATCAAGAGTCCAAGGAGATTGTGCGTTCACATACCATTCTGCAACAGGTAGACTATATGTGATGGCCAGCCAATTGCGATGTACCTCAAAATCAGTAGAGCGACTGCAAAAAAACAGATGTAAATCTCCAATATAAGTAATATTGCCAGCAAAGAGACTGTTCAAAATGTCTGCTTACTAAGTAGGAATTAAGAGAATTTTAATGCAGGTGATCAGAAGAAAGATCTTTAAAAGTACATTATTCCTCCAAAAGACAGAGGATGAGGAAGAAGAAACACCCTTTCCATCCTGTTTCATTTGAATTTCTGTTGAAATATTTTTTTCCTCGGTGGACATGTTAATTTTAAGGAAATAGATAGACCGCCACTGTGTGTCTAGGTATATTCTTTAAAATTTTGTTCTGAAAAAGGAAAATAAAAAAATGTTACCCAGAAGTCTCATTATTTTCTTTTATCTCATAAAAATAATGTAAAATTAATTGTAATATATAAATAATACGAATACGATAATAAAATAATAAAAAATACAAATATAAAATCTCATATAAAATAAAAATCTTTTTGAGGTGTTCTAAGCACTTCATCCATCAACTTGCGTATCTTTACCAGAATTATGTGTCAAGGCGCAAAATATGATAATTTACATCACTGACGAGAATAGTATCTCGTCGGTGTTTACGTGCAATGTAAACTACGTGTCATCTATGTAAACAATCTATAATATGAATCATTAAACCACTTAGCTACTTAAAGTTTAATTAAACACCTTGCTATTTATTAGCATCAATTGCGATAATCCTCGATGTCTTCGTAATTATAATAGGCGTATCAAACATTCGGCGAAGATATTCGACGCAATGTGACAAAGTAAGGTTAGGAAACGCACGTGCGATGCGTGACAATTTTAGGTTAGGTTCGACAGAGAACAACAGAAAATTGAACTCGAACAGAACTCGAACTGTCGAGCTATGATAGTTCCCGAGTTACCGCCGGCTCTACGCAAGGCTGTGCAGCTTGTTCAGAGCTTCAGTCGATGTCGCGTGACACATGATATTTGGAAGTCCAATCAGTGTCGAATGTTTAACAAAAGGCCGGAGCAGACTAAGAGCAACGACAATAAGAAGCCACGACCAAAAACAGAGCCGATTCCGAAGATCACGCTCTTGTCGCTGGACAACTCGACCACTGTGACTGTGCTGGAAGTGGCTCAGCGTTTGGCGAAACGGCGCAACCTTACTCTCATTAAAGTCAGCGAGCTCGAAGATAAGACGCAACGACCGCTCTATAAATTAATGAACAACGCCAACATTTTCGAGGAGATCAAAGAGGATAAGGACGCGCAGAAGTTGAGAAAAGGCACTAAATTATTCTACATAGCCGCAAAGATCACTGAACATGATCTATGGACGAAGACGAAGAACATGATGAAATTGTTGAACATGGGCCACAAAGTCAAAGTTGCCATCACTCTGGACGCTGCCGACGGAGTGAGTTCTGTAATTCTTTTCTGCTTGGTATACAACTGATCAAAAAATCATTATCAAGAGAATTATCAGATAAAAATGCAATAACGAAGAATTTCGTTATATTAAATACCTATTAGGTGTACAACTTTGCTTCCGCCGTTTTTTTCCGAAATTCGAGGCTTTATTGTAAAAAACTGGTTATACATTTATAACAAAGTATTGTCCATCGCTGGCCACTATTTTCTCCCATCTTTCGGGTAGCGTACGAATCCCGCGTCGAAAAAATTGGTCATCTTTTGAGGCTATCCACGAATCCAATTTTTTACTTCTTCATAAGACCGGAAGTGCTGGTCAGCCAGGCCGTGTACCATTGATCGAAACAAGTGATAGTCAGAGGGAGCAACGTCTGGAGAATACGGCGGGTGGGGTAGGACTTCCCATTTCAACGTTTCCAAGTATGTCTTGACCACTTTCGCAACATGGGGTCGAGCATTGTCATGCTGCAAAATCACTTTATCGTGTCTCTCGTTGTATTGCGGCCATTTGTCTTTCAATGCTCGGTTCAAACGCATCAATTGCGTTCGATACCGATCGCCTGTGATTGTTTCAGTCGGTTTTAACAG